ACAAAAATCTATAAGGAAATTCAATAGAGACAAGCCTGGTATATTTAGATAAAATTATTCACTCAGAAATAGGGAACACCTAGTTTTGTAGCACAGAAGCATTAGTGGAGTTATAGAAGACTGCAAGCTATAAAACAAGCTCACAATATAATGCCATTGTAAAAAAAAACAAAACCCCATGTCTTATATGAGAAATGGCATGGGAAGGAATGGTTGTACTCTGCTTGGCATAGATAAAGCCCCAGCTGGAATAGTATATCCTGCACCAGTTATCACACTAGGAAAGTCAAAGGGAGCATATTTGGCATTGTCTCCAAATGGTTTAGAAAATACAGCCCTGGAGGAAGAGGAGTTGAAGTAATTATGCTCATTTTATGCAGAAGACTAAGGAGAGAGACACAGCACTCCAATGCACAAAAGGACTTTTCTATGAAAAAAGAAATGATCAGTTTGATCCCTGTGTTGACATTGGAAACACACTAAGTAATCAGTTTGTTTCATACATGAGACCTATGTTGAACTGGCTGTGACTAGATGAAAATTGGATCATTTCTCCGTGGAAGCACTGTGGGATCCTTTTCCTTAAAGGACAGAAAGAGGGTACAGAAGTCCCTCTCAGGCCTGGTTTAGGTGCACACCTACAATGCACCAAATGGATTAGGTAATGTCTTACAGTCTCCCCATGGCCCCGCATTCCCACGATTTGTTCAGTGCCCTTGCTCCCAGTTTCATCGTGTGTCCCACAGTGTACGTGTTCACACAGTGCTGCCCATGCTGGGGAGCAATTTGGGTGACTCTTTTCACCCAGCAGTGGCAACTACCATTTCTCCTTCTGGAGCAGATCTTGGTTACTGTTATAGTATAGTGGAAAGTGTCAGACGTGGAGCCTAAGCCCACAGCACCCAAATTCTCCAGGACTGATAGAATATGCATTTGTGTTCCATGGCATAAGGTTTATCTGCAGTGTCCAGAAGATATTGTTATCACATTTTACCCATTTTAATGTCTCAAAAGGTCTTCTGTACCATGCTTAGTTTCTTCATGGAGATATCTTTTGACAGCAAGAGTTAACTTGCAATTTTAGTCTCAGCCAAAACACCAGATACCATATGACTGAATTTCAGAGCAGTGGTCATACAAGGCAATCAGTGAAAAAAAAGGTGAAAAAAAGTCCAACAGAGGAGTTGGGCACCTAAGCCATCTTTTCTTAAGAAGGCTGATCTTTATCCTGTTTGTCTGTTTTGAATTTTTAAAAAAAGTTATGCTCATCTTGTAGTCTCACCACTATTTAAATAGTGAGTATCATGACTGGTAAGAAAGCAGCATCTTTCAAATTGTATTCCCTGAAACAGTCATATGTTGCTGTTTTGATCCCTGACAGCTTAAAAAACGGCTCCTAAAATACCATCTAAAGAACAGGAACAAGAAGTGCAAACGTCCGTTTCAGGCCAGTGTTGTTACTCTAGTCATTTCCTTTCTTGGTATCACAGTGACATGTAGTTATCTCAGATGTACACGAGTGCTAATTCTTCTTGGTAGGAAAGGAAATGAATATTGGTTCATAGGAAGCAATCAAAGAACTCTAACTTTTGCACGCAATTCCAGATCTGGCCATGATGATGCCCGAGAAAGAAGAAAAAACTATTATATTTTGCCTATAGACCAAATATTCTATAAAATCTGCTTTGGAGTTATTCATAACCACGTATGAGCACTATGAACGAAATCTTAATTCTTGTTAAGATGGACAAACAAGGCAGCTGGAAATGCAGACACCGTTGGGACTGGATGAGAAGGCTCATATTGGAAAGCGCCTCTAGTTTTCCCTCATCTTGTGAAAACCCAGCCATCCCTTTTGCCCTCTATGAGGAACAGAGTTAGCATAAGGCACCACTGGACCCAAAAGCCCCGGTCCGCACCTCCTGCCTCCGGGCTTCAGACTTCCCCTCTCGACCAAAACGGGGCAGTTTCGTCTATTCTTATGCAAAACCGAGGTGCAAAGCGCTCCGCTCGCCCCGCGGCCCCCCGCCCTGCCGGCTGGGCTGGCTGCCGAGCACCGGAGCTCGCCCCGACAGCAGGTGAAGGAGTAGCCCGAACCGCCCCGCCGGATCCCGGGCTCCGGCACGCCCAAACACTGCCTCCGTCGGTAGCAGCTCCGAGAGGGTGGCGTCGGGAAACCCTAGCTGATGCTGAGCAAGAGCTCGAGGATACGAATGTGCTCCCGTCCCGGGAGCCCACACCGGCTCCCGCCGCGATGGCGAGGTGCCCGGGCTGAAGAAGCCAAAGTCGTCCGGCCCCCTCCGAGACAGAAGAGCGCGTGTTTCGCCCCCCCGCGCCCCGGCAGGTACTCACCGCCGGGCAGGACGGCGGCAGCCCGGCCCTTCCGGCCCGTTCCGGCCCGTTCCGTCCCGCGTCTCTCCGCCGCCGCCGCTCCCACGCGAGGCCGATGCGGCCGCCGCGCCGCGCCGTCGGGCCGAGCGTCCATCCCGCGGAGCGCCCCGCCCCGCCGCCCGGCGTCGCCCGCCCTATTGGCTGCCGGAGGGTGATTTGCATGCGGGGCCCCGCCCCGTCGGTCCGTCGGGTAGGCGCCCCTGGTGCCAGCCCTTATCGCCCCTTCCCTTTCTCCCGCCCGGCCTGGCGGGGCCGTGCTCGGTTCGCTCGGTCCCAGCGCGGGAAAGTCCGCGCCCGTGGGTGCTGGGAAGCGTGGGTGGGCTGAGGTGGCCTGTTTCTTTGCCGTCGTCCCCGAGAACGTCCCCTGCCCTTTCTTGCCGTCGCCTCCTCGCCGGGAAGCGGGTGCTTTCCGACCGCCGGGCTGCGAGGGCTTGGGGATGGGACTGGGGGTGCGGTGAGACGCGGGGCCGGCAAAGAGTGAAATCCGAGGGGGCGAGGGAACAGCTAGTATCAGGCGCCGCCGTGAGCGGGGAAGGGGCGCGTCCCCCCAGCCGCGTCCCCCCGGCTGTCTGCCCTGTCCTGCCGGCTTGAGCCGCGGATGATGAAATGGGACGGCAAAAGAACTTCTACGAATGTAATTCACATTACTGCTGCTTAGTGGGAGGATGAGAAGCTGTGCTCTTTTCACCGTGCTACAGGGTACGGGTCAAATTTAGCCCATTTTTTGGATGTTGGCTTCAACTCCGATAAATTTGACTATTCCTGGGGGAAAATAAAAAAACCAAACCCAAACAAAACACCTTCCCCATCATTCTAACTGAAAAAAACCTGACAAAACTTTGGTGTTACAATGTGTGATGCACACTAATAATACACATAAATAAGCCACACAAGTAGTTACAGAGGTTGTTCAAGTCTCTCTGAGGTGGGAAGTTTTAGAGATTTTTGAACATCTTGGACAAGCATTTTCTTCACCCTTTCACCACAGAAATTAAGACAATTTGAATCTGGAAATTTTAAAAGATAGAAGTTACTTTTCTGTTGGTGCAAAGATGTAGCTGAAAGAGCAATGTTGCTTTCCTGAGCTGTCATCAGTTATAAGGCTCAAAAATTTCTCATGTATTGTGTCAATCCCTCCATGCCCAAGACCAAATCTGTCATGATGGAGACAGTTGCAGAGACACAGGAAGCTTCCTCCCTCCTTATTTTCTATACTGTTGTGTCAGGAAAAAATTGAGCAACAGGTAAATGCTAGAGGTTTTATGGTTAACAGTTAGCTAAAAATATATCTGACAGAAAGGCTCTTTCCCCTTGAAAAATCCAAGACTGCACTACAGGGTTCTTCCATGTGGAGAACTTTGCTGGCATTTTTCCCTTAGACCTTAATGCTGGAGAGAAATTTATGGTTGGGTATCATTGGTCCCCTAAAACTACCTGAAGGCACTGAATTATGAGTAGGTTTTCTCTTCTTTTCTGAGCTTCTGCTTGGTGAGCCCAGCTACAGCATCCCCAGTGTGTGGGCAGTTGGTTTTCTCTTTGCCACTGGACCACGGAGAGCAAATGGGCCTTCAAGGTTGTTAATGCAAGCGGAGCTGAAAATAAAGCTGCGTGTTAATGTGATGTCACGGGTAATCACAGATACAGACTGCTTTGTATGGCATGGAACAAGAATTACAAATTAATCTGCTGTTGTTGCAGCACAGGCAAAGCTATTGGGTGCATTGATTGATGTGTCTGATGATCAAAAATGAGCAAAATGCTCATCTACAAACATCTGGTATCTTCCCTATAATTTGTGAGGAGGATTTGAAAGACCAAATAGATGACAGTCAAGTCTCCTCTGCTTTGGGAGACACTTCAGTTAAAATTTCAGTAGCTGAGTAGAAGGCAAGGTAGCAATATTGTTAAAATATTAATCTTCTAAGAAAGGAATGGAGGGTGAGAGAAAACTATTATTTCTATAAATTTTGCCACCTAGATTAGAAGAGGTTAAAGAAGGTTGAAAACTCTCAGAGACAGCTTGCTAATTAAGCTACACAAATAGGTGACTAAAAAAAATTCACCACTGACAAACAAGGATCCTGAAGCGCTTGAGCATATTATGTTGCTAGATCCTACCAAGGTCGCCCATTTGCATGGTGTTATGAGAAACAAAACCAGATGAGTAATATGAAAAGATTATCATGTCATCATACGTAAAAAAGACACTTGTTTGGGATTATTATGCTCATTTCAATCACTTCTGAAATAAGATGAACAGTGTAGATTGATAATGAAAATGATTAGACAGAGAGAAGTGATTTTCCCCCAAAAAATTAATAGATTTTTTCAGTCTCGTCATTTTACCCTCCCATGAATCCCAAGCAGCGTTACATACAAAGCCAAGAAAATAACGTAGTAACTTCTTTACTTTGTGCTATCTCTTATATAAGATACACATTTAATGAAAATTTGTCATTTGCCAGTGAAAGGAAATGCTCAATTTACATAGATAAAGGCAGAACTCATTTGCACAGATGCCAATAATTTTTTTAAAGGAGTTAGGGCAATGTAAGTGCACAATACATCTGGAGACAGTAAGCCTCTTTTTTTTTTTTTTGTCCTGAAGAGCCATTGGGTTTTTTCCTTAAAGACTCCTAATCCTGACCTAGGTCTTGAGTGATTATTTTGAATGAGCCACATTCTGCTTCCAGTTTTCTCATTCTCTAGAAAGAGGAAAGGCATAATTAATTTCAGTGCTCATAAATGTGTAGTGAAAAGTAATATATAAACAAATTGGAGTCTCATGTATGTTAAAATACCTTGAGGATGTGTAGTATTTCAAGGCCAATACACAGAGCAGAGGGACTGCCTGCATGTGGGAGACCCATCATCTCTCTGCTCTGGTGCCTGATGCTTCTAATGACACTGGCAGCCAGGAGAGTAATGGAACAGACTGGCTGAGTTCCTTCCAAAGACCAAGAAATTAGCAATTATGTGGACATGTAGATTTCTCTTTACCACCACCTACCACCATCTCAGGGCATCTGGGAGTTCTGGGGAATATCAATTTTCAGAAAGAGCAGTTTCAACAGGTGCCTTATGTACAGGTGACATACAGACCCCTGTTTGTCTGGAGTTTACCCATCTATTCAAAACAGTTTGTACCCATAACATCTGTACTAATTTCAAGTATGGTGTTATAGAAGTGTCAATCTATAATAATTGACATTTGTGAAACTTTTAGCTGAAAATAGAGCAAATTGCTACCAGTTCAGTTCTGTATCCCAGGACCAGTTCTCAGACACATAAAACTCACGTATGCTTTTCTGCATGTGCAGTACAAATGAGCCTCTTCTAAGCTAGAATCAGGTCTGATGTAATCTAGCTCACATTGATTCAATGAAAGTAATGATTCATGGTCCTGGACAAATAACTTTTTTCCTTTTAACCTCATGAATCAGTAAGTCATTCTGACAGTACATGATTTATCAATTGCCAAGGTGAGTGAAGGGAGACACCAACGGTTGATGATAGGAAATTCTTTCACTATATTGATTAACCAGAGAAACTGAGATTCCAGCTGTGGTACTTCCAGCTTGAGTAAGGTCCATCAAACACTCCAGTTCTGACTTTTCACATTTTCACATTTTCTTGTAGCCTCTCACAAAAGCTACTCATGTTACAGAACAGCTTCATAACTAAATGTTGCTGATGTAAAGAGATCCTTCTTGGTTACATGAGGAATAGACTGATGAAAAGAATTCAAAAGCCAAATGTCTCCACAGCTGGTAAAATCCACCTTAATTCTCTGTTGAAGCCTGCAGAGATACTTGGATTTACAGGGGATAACAGTGCTGTAAGTATCGAGCCCCACAGGTGTTTTTGCTTTCCTTTTCTCTCTTTCATTAGGAAGGAAGAAGACTGTTAGAAAGGGATGGAGTGCTGCAAGCTATACAGATCTAATTGCTGTGGAGTCAGAGGATGCCCTGTGCCAGGGCCCTCTCTTTTGCTTATTTAGGAAAGGATTTAACATTCTTCTCCAATTATGCCTGAAAGGCATGTGAAGCCAGCCCTGGTTGTAATGCCCCTGAATTCCTTGTGAACCACAACTTGGCACCCATGTATAGCTCTCTGAAGGTTCATTATCTGTACATGAGTTCTTACAGAGCTGCAAATCTAGTTATAGCTGCATTAAATGCCAGATTGGATGTACAGGAAATAGCCCTGGGACTTCTGTTGACTCTAGAGATAATGGCAGGTGCCAGCATGTTTTATTAAGCTGGTAACCAACAAATTAACAAGTTCAAAATTACATCTACCTGATGGATGTAAATAAGCATACTTAACTGGAGCCAGTGGAACAATACTGATTTCTGGGAGCTGAAAGCTTGGTTGATTATCAGGTAAGCCACTGGATTTCTCTGCCTGCTGTCACAGCTTTGAATGCAAGAGCACAGCCCATGTGTATAACATGACAAGGATCCTGTCACATCAGCAGTCCTAATGAGAAGTATTACCTAATGATATTCCTATACTTTGGTAAAGGTGAGTATTCTAACTCCTGCTATCAGACAGGAATGAGGTGTCTCTTCTGCACATTTGCATGCCCATAGATTAGGATTAGTTAACTTCTGCACTATAGGGAGGACTTTGCAACCTGATAAAGCAGAGAAAAGGGCATCTTTATGACAATCAGGAGTCAGGCAAGGAAGATACATAGCAGATGCTCAGGTTTGGATATAGGACAAGTAACAGCAGATTCTAGGGGCAAGTTCATATTGTCAAAAAGTACATGCCTTGTTTTTGCCTCAGCACTACTCTCTGAGCAGAAAATGACCAAGCTGTATATTAGGTGTGAAGAGAGAAGTACCTGGGGAGTAATAAAAAGGGTTTTTTTCCCAGAATAAAAGCCTTAGATGCATTAGAAGAGTGAGGTAAAGAATAAATAGACCTTCATAAAGAGAGGCATTGGAAAACGAGAACATTTCCATAGCTTTTTGGAGATCCTTTTAAAATTAGTCATTCAGAGAAAAGGTGTTGTTTTCTAAAACCCACCAAGTTTTGATGAAATACAACAATTCCATCTTAGAATTGCATGAACATAAATATTCCATAGCCATGTTGATAGATCACCTTATTCATGATGTCAGTGCTTTTCAACAAGCAATATAACATCCATAAAGTGATGGGGAGCCTGCCCAAACTGCACCGGGTGTTCCTGTACCATGTGGATTACCTTCCTCCAAAGGCATGCTGCACAAGTGGAAACCTTTCAGGTGGTTTTGTGGCTAGATCAAATGCCTTGTGGTAGACCTTCCCAAGGGTAGCATGGTATTGATGTGTTACAGATCTAAGAAGAAAAAGAAAAGCTTTTCGTTTAGCTGACGGTGGGTGAAGAATCATTCGGGAATACACAGCCAGGAAGCAATGGATTTCACAGCCCAGTCATGACCAATTGCTGCCTCTGTGAATGGCAAGGTGGATGGTATCTAGGCAAGTTGTACTGGACACAGGAACAGCATGATAGATTTCCATAGAATGAAACAAACTTACTGTTAATGTTTGCATGGTACAGGGGAGTGTTTTAGGTAGGAAAAAAACCCCACCCAAAATAAAAATTAATGGTACATGTCAAAGTAGAGGGGTATTTGTCAAACACCTTGCAAAACTTTCTGAGAAAAGTGAAGGCTTATATTTTATTTTTGAAACCTGCCTGTTGGCTGTGGCAAGTATAGCAGGATTCTAAGAGGCAGCTGTTTCCAGCCACACTTCAAGCTTCATAGTTAAGAAATGCAAAGACGGGAAGTTCTGGGGGCACTGAACAGCTGTAGAGTAATGCCACAGAAGCCCACAGGTCTCTCATTTACTGGGGAGTATTTCAGTACATGAAGCATCTCTACATGAAAGTGGGTAAGGCAGAGGGGCAGCTGAATACCTTCACTATTTTTTAAAGCTACTAGCTTTTGATGGATTCAGCTGCCTGGGTGGTTGGCCACAGAGAGATCAAACCTGCCCAAATCTGCTGGAGTCCTGTGTGAGTCCCAGGTGCTTCCAGCTTTGCCTGGCTCACTGTGCTCAGAGACAGCAATGGGTACAATCATCAGCAAGGGGTACAATCATCTTTTCATGAGAAGCAACTATCAGCTTCCAATTAATTTAATGTGCATCCATCAGGATGGAGCTGGGTACTGGCACTGTTACACAGAACCCTTAACTTCTGGATCTCTGAAAGCATCAGATGCTGGTCTTTACATTTGCTCAGTTCCTGAGTGAGCAAACTGATGGGGAAGTCCCAGCAGGTGAACCAAAACAGAGCACACAGCCTCTATTCCAATTTGTCAATCTAGAGAATTATTTGGTCTGAAAATGTGTTTTTTATATATAATACTATCTATCTATATATATATATTCATCTTACAAGTTGCATCTCTGTGTAGGTTATGTGTTACTATGGCAGATAAGGAGGACTGCACTGTGCATACATACTCAGTTCTTATTTCTTCCTTGTACTCTCAGCTTCAGTGATGCAACCTATCCTCGCTGTGCCTCTGTTTTAAGCTGGATAAATATCTACTAGGAATAATTCAGGTATAGCTGATTTTAAATTGAGGTGGGGGAATGGATTAGATGATTTCCTGAACTTTCTTTTAGCCTCAATCTTATTAACGTGTGCCAAAGTGTATTTAAATATTTATAGAAATACAAAATATTAAAATACACTAAAACATAAGACTACAGCTTCAGATGGGGTAAATCAGTTCTTCAAAATTCAAGCCAAGTGTGTGTTTCTTATTAAGCTAATAAACAGTTACAATGATATAGTGAGATTTTCAAGATATTACAGATCTATTGTTCATATCATACTAAAAATATTGTAAGGTAAATCTGGTAGCTGTACCTTTAATCCTGAGAAGTTAATTCATACTTTTTTTACTGAAAGCAAATTGTTTTGGGAAATATCTGTCATCTATATGCATTCCTACCATGCCTAACAACGTAAGCCTTGCTTCTTGGCCAAGGCCAGTAGGCAATTTCCCCCAAGAAATAGTACATAGACAGGGAACAAGCACAGAAAACACTGCTACACAACCTTATGCTACATGGCTTTGAACCACTAGTTTTACTGCAAACCTGGTAGCCAACACTAGCAGTGTTGCACATGCATTGACAGGAAGATTGTTAAACACTGTTTCCATCTTACAGAATAAATTTTTGCAACATGATAAATTAAAGAAAACCCAACTAACATTTCATGATGCAAGAGAAGATCCTACATAAATAATAATTTAAAATACTGTTCACATTTCATGTCAACTCCACAGCACATACAATTTTTGTGAGTACCAGTTTGGTGTGAATTTAAAAGGAAGTACAACTTTACAAAATAATTCAATAATAGATAAGCAAAATTAATACACTGAAGTATCCAACAGCAAATTGGTTAAAAGTTCACCAATAATCAGTACACAGAATACATCTAGAAAATGAGTCTACATTTAACTCTAAATAACACTGAATACCTGCATATCAAATTTCACATGATCACTACCTGAAGATGACAGGTGATAGACACATCAATTTGTGATGAAAAATATATCTATTATATGACATGGCAAGAAAATTTTCAAAGTGATGTTTGAAATCTTACCATATCTGCAGCTTTAGTGACAGTTAAATTAATTACATCTAAGATAATCCTTCTTTACAGAGATTTTTTTTTCTCCCCCTTCATTCCTCAAAGGGGTCAGGTCATCCACTCAATTGATGCTGTGCAGTCCTTTAAACCCTACAGCAAACATGGAAAGGAGAAGCAGGGGGTAGGCAAAAGACACACTGAGATGGATGACAGATCTGTATTTCTATCTCCAGCCATCTTGGAATATACAGTTTTCTTAAGTTTATTCTGTTACCTATATGGCTCTATTCCTCTCTCTCTCTCTCTGACCAGATTCTCCACATAGGATTTAGCCCCTTATGAGTTAGAGACAATTCAAAGTCACAGTCTATCTCTGAGGCTACTCTGGTCAGTGAGAATGTATGCATATGACGTTTGGAAACATTAGTAATGTTCTCTCTGCTGCCTTACGCTTTGCAGTGCAGAGATACCAGGTCAGTAATCAATGTTGACAGCTTTGAGAGGATATTGGAGAAAATAACTCCCTGAGGTATTTCTAATCTGTGATTCTAATGTGGTCCAAAATCAACAGCTGTAGAGGCCTCAAAGATGGTGCTGAAAGATGCCTCTAAATAGAAAGCCCTTAAGTCCCGCATCCTACATACCACAGTGCAAGAGTAGCCAGACACCATCCACTACCTGTTACTGCATGAACAGTGTCTAAGGTAGGCTCATTATCTGCTACAGCAAAGCCAGCTCTTCATAGTCAACATTCTCACAGCAACACACCTACATTTCATTTTAATCTTGGCTACTGATCTGCCGAGTTTATTTTCCAGAGATTTGTTATTTCTAATGATACATATCTGCAGTTCAACCATTTGTAGCTGTCTTTGAAAACAACTCTGTCTTCGTTCAGGTGTCTGAGTAGAGCAATCTACCCACACTTTGTCTGTCAGCACAAGACAGAAAACACGCTTGCCTGGCACCAGCTGGTGGCCTGACAGGGAAGTTTGCCAAGCTGATATGGGATTAGTAGGTGCTAAGGTGTATCCAGACTCTTTGTGACTTGGTCAAAGAATTATAGCGGGCAGTTTAACAGTTTAACAAGTGTTTGCAGTATATTACAAGTGATAAGACAGATTGATTACATGAAAACAAGCACTCTCCAAATTCTCTTATGCACCCAGTAATATGCCCATCAGTCTTCAAACTCGTACTATATGGAAATCTTCAGAATCCTATTCCCTGAGGATGAAAAGAAATAGACTTCCCAGTTGTTGAAGGACAAAATTTCACTTGCAAGATGATTTTCCAAATAATATCAGAAACGCTGCCATACTTTCAGACCCATGTAACTTTGGTGACAATTAAATTGATGGACTAAGCTAGGTTTTTATGTGACAACCATAACAATATTGCATTACATTTATAAACCATGTTCCACTTCAGGCTCTCTAAACCAATTTGCAAGCAATTACTTTAAAATACTGCTATGTGTATTGCTACCCATGTATTATAGATGGGAAAGAAATCACAGAAAGTGTCAAAATGCCTAGAGGTGTACAGCAAGTCTTGATCTAACTAGAAGTTGCATCCAAATCCCCTGAGTGCTAGTTCTCTCTTTTCATGAAAAACTACATGTCTTTTCATGTTTCTGCTTTTTTTCTTACAGATATTTTGTTTCTCTAAGGCTTATGACTCTCTACAGCCATCTTTCTACTTAAATAATTTCTCCCTTAAATAATTTCTTAGGCATGAATGCTATATAGATGACAGTAACTGTGCGCTATTTTACAAGTCTATAACACTTAAAATTAATTACCAAATTCAGCTTTCAATAAAGTTAATGCAAGTTTGAATGTGACATCAAATGAGACAGGCCCAATATTAAAAACTACAGGAAGGATTACATGGAGGATAGGCAGTGGGATATTTTGCTACTAGTGTAGAGGAGAATTAAACTTTTTATAAGGACATGTAGCGATAGGACAAGGGGGAATGGCCTTAAGCTGAAGGAGTGTAGGCTTAGATTAGATATTAGGAAGAAATTCTTTACTGTGAGGGTTGTGAGGCACTGGAACAGGTTGCCCAGAGAAGTTGTGGATGCCCCATCCCTGGAAGTGTTCAAGGCCCAGTTAGATGTGACTGTGAGCAACCTGGTGTAGTAGAAGGTGTCCCTGTCCATGGCAGGGGGGTGGGAACTGGATGATCTTTAAGGTCCTTTTCAACCTAAACCATTCTGAGATTCAGTGATAAGGATCATTGTCCAGGTGAGTGAATAGACCACGTGTATCCTTTAGCCAATGCCCTTAAGACAAGAACCAGAAAGCAAATGAAATTAATTATACAAATGCTCTGGCAGCTGCCTTTGGGAGTTAAAACATTTATTTTTAATGAAATGCTTCCCAGATCCTACAGACAAGCCCAAACTAGCCCCTAGAACTCAGATACGTACACAACTGCAAATCACAACCAGACTTGTTATTGTCCCGTCTTCCTAATGAGCTGATCCAAAAATGCCAACTGTGATGCCCAAAACCTTGGGGAAGTAGGGGTTCACACCCAGATACAGGCAGAGTAATTCAAACTCAGTAGTACCACACAGCTGTAAGAAATACTTTGCACTAGTGTACCTTCATTAGAGTATCATTCTTTGAAAAAAAACTGCTACCAAAGGTCTGTCTTAGCCCAAAGGGTGTTCTTTCAGAAGCCATTAATAACATTCAGGAGAAAACTGTAAAAAAAGAGGTTGAAGGTGACCTTTGTCTTCAGATAGCTCCCTAATAACCAATAGCTGTGGGATTTCTGAGATGAAAGTTGCATTCAAGCATTCAAACAGCTGAAAAGATATAATCAGGGCCAATGAACATGTTGTTTGTATGGAGCATATTGGTACAAGTAAGTGAATTTGGAGTCACCTTCCCCTCCCCCCAGGTCATCCTGGGCAAACAGAATTTCATTTTGGTTTGGATAAGAAAGTAGAAATTTTCAGATTTGTTGCAGAAGTAGTAGAACTCGTTGGAGTTAAAGATATGACTGTCTCTGTGTACAAATCAAAATGCAGTTCTCAGAGGAGCTCCTAGGCATGCAGTGTGAGAAGGGCAAGAAATGTGTCAGTGTGAATGTGGGCTCAGTTCAGACTCTGCTCAAGGACGTAGGAGGAAACAGAAACTTAACCTACACTAAAATTTTCCAAAGGGCTAATTTACCCAAATCAAACCATTACAGTCATAAACAAGTCTCACCTAGAGGTGATGTGCTGGGCTGAGTCAGTGAAAAACCTTAATGGAGAGCTGGAGGCAGAGCTGGGTGATGGGCACAGTGAAGTACCAGCAAGGAGCCTGCTCTGCCACAAGGTGAGCATGGGGCTTCTGGCAAGGGATCTCATTGCTGCTTGTGTCAACATCCTGCTCTGTTTGGCTAGGACAGTATTTTCCTTTCTTAGTACAGCTGTAAAGAGCTAATGCTTGTAGGATACTATACAGCGCTCAGAAGAATGACTATTGCACTTCCTAATATGTTTTATAAAGGAAACAATGACATCCATAAAGTAGATGACTGTCTTCAAGCTAGTTTTTTTCTCCAGAGTTATGGCTAGCATCTTCTTAAATGCCTCTGTTTCTTTGGCTGATAGAGCATCAGACAAACAACTCTCAATGCAAAGTGTTCTCTAATTCCTCTTGAGCATCAAGTCTTCTGAGCTAAAAGGCCAACTTTTTCCTCCATAAACAGCAGTCAAAATAATATGCCTACACCTGAAGCAAGATTTTGGCTTACGATTTCTATGCCATCCTTCCGGAAGTCTATACATATATAAAAGATCCACCTTTTTTCCTAAGCCTAACTTACCATTGAAAATAGCTTATAGATAAGTCCTTTAAATAGGGCAATATTAGTCCCTTAAAAAGGGTGAAAAGTATTGATACTGTGCTTTTGATTTAAGCTCCGTGGGGGGATCTGTTAGGATAGTAAGGGTGACTGGTTTTAGTAGTGATGGAAAACACAGATTTTTTTTTCCCCTGCGTGAAGGAAGAAACACTTGGCCAGATCCCCAGGGGCTACAGGAGAGAGAACTGAACAGCAGAATGTTTCAGAAGGAGACATTCCATGGGTACCACTGAAATGATTCAAACTGTAATTAACTATCCCTGCTGTCTCAAAATACAGGTGCATGTGCATTTGGGAATGAGATGAGTATCAAATTGAAAACTGAGTCACTCAACAAGCTTGTCTTACCCTTCCAATTATGCAAGCCAGTTTGTGACTCAGCAGCTGTACAAGTCTGTTCTCCACTGACAAGACAAATCAGTTCAGCAGCTGAGTCAGTCACCTTTTCACAGTGATAAATTCAGTAGGCAGCCACGGTACGGAAAAGATTGTAGAGCCTTTATTCTGAGTGCAGTTACCTATGTGAGAGAGAGTAAATACATTTTGTAGGAGAATAATCTTCAGCTCACCCTCACACAAGGAATTAATTAAATGAGGGAGACAAAAACTGTCATGGGATTACACTGACTAATGTTCATGGCCCTTTAACTAAAAGAGATTAGATTTTTTTTCTGATACTGTTTTCTGTTGTTACTGTTGTGTTCATCCCTTACTAATAAAAATCATCAGGCAACTTGCTGTAATTGCAATGTAGTTGAGAATTAATTACTTTAATTGTCTTTGACTTTTCTTTCTAGTCTTGCAAATAATTTCCTACGTGTTTGAGTGTGACAAGGGTGGAGATATCGTGACAGTTACAGGCAGTTACAAACTCATGCACACGTTGGTAGGGTAATCTTTGCCCCAGCCTGTTCCTTGAATGCTGACTTTTTGCTGGCACCAACAATAAGCTTTCCTTACCCTTCAGGCTTGGTCCTTTTGAGGTGCCAAGTATGAAGAGCTGCTGCCAATAGTCTTAGCACTAAAAATACCAAACCTAAGTCCAAGTTCTTAAGTCTACTGACAGAACTTCAAGACTGCATTTAGAACTGAAAGTGAAGAAGTCACCTGATAGACTGCACTTCTCTCTCTCTGACTGTAAGAAATATATCCCACTAGTCCTGTTCAAAACCAGGTGTCTTTATGCCTATGTCCAGAGGTGAACATCACAAATAGCCATGATAGTTGGTATTATAACCATCCCACCATGAGGCTATGAATGAGGCCCCATTGGGTGAACTGCAGTACAAAAACTGTAGGAGAACACCTTAGCCAAGAGGAACTCGTTAGGTTACATGAGGCTGAAAAAGATAGGGAAAAGGGAATGGAGAGTTATGGTTTGCAAATGTTTTTGCTCCATACTGAAGGCTTTTCCAAAATGTCAAAAATGTGTTTCAACACAGAGCTGCACGTGAATACCAAATCATCTGTTCTTCACAACTATTCTGAGAGATGCATCATCCGTCATCTACGCGATCTACGCACATCCTGTTGGGGCTCTACATTAGGGCCCCAGTGCCAACAGTTTTCACAATGACTGGTTAATTTCTTAAAGCCTCTTTCCCTGCAATCAATTGAATATGTGAATATTTCAGCTTTAATTTTCTAAAACTAAGTACCCTCTTACTTACAAACAACAGCAAAAAAAATCACCTACTTAAAAGCTCACTTAAAAATTTCCAGAGTCAGTCAACTTTTTTGTTCAGTAGTTTTTTGGCTTTTGGTTGGTTTCAAAGTTTCTCAGTCTGCATAATTCTGAGGAGGTGGGGAGAAATACAAAAATCTTAAAGAGATAACATCTTTCTGATGTACTCCTTGCATAAGTTCGCTTTCCAAAACCAACAATTCTCTTTCAAGATATCAAATCACATTCCAAAATGCATAGATGGGATGGTTATCACCATACATTACTAATATTGCCCATTCCTGACTATAAATACCTTGCTTGCAGTGGCTTATTCCTTGCCAAGTCTCAACACTCTGGGTTTACTTTATTATTTTGAGGATCTGGTCAATTAAGCAATTTTCAGCTTAATAAGACATCACCAACAATGAACACAGTCATCAAGAAGTCATTTATCTTGAGTTACCACGAGCTGTGATTTGAATATAATAATTTTTCTATGGTGCTTGGTGCTGTGAAAAATTACCTTCTATCTGCCTTAAAAGTAATAAACAGCAATACTTAGATAAAGCTGAAAGTAATTGCATCACCTTATTAGTGAGAGCTTTACTTTTACAGTAAATGCAAGAGGCTCATGTACATTTCTTATTTCAAATGAGGAAGTTCCCAACCCAGGTAGAGAAACAAGTGGTAAA